CTCTGGTCGATGGGACAAACGTCGGTCGGACAAACGTCGTCGGACAAACGTCGGTCGGACCAAAAATTTAAGGGAAAAGGAGGTCGGACAATTTCGGCAGGTCGGAAAAACGTCGGTCGGACAAACGATGTACACCGCGCCGGGCGCTCGAGTGGCGCCGAATCAAACTGCCGCTCATTTGCATCGGCCGCACTAGTTCCCAGAAAGGTATCGCTCTTATCGGGAGACTCCGCGTCTCCGAGTCTCCGAGTCCGAAATAGCGATGACGGACTTTGTTCGAACGTTCGCGCGTGTGCATGTGTTTGTGTGTGTGTGAGTGACTGTGTGTGTGTTAAGGGGGAGGGCGAGTGTGTATGTGGTACGTAAGTGGGTAAGCGCGCGCGTGTGTGCATGTGTGTGTGTGTGTGTGCGCGCGCGCATGCATGCGAGTGTGTACGCTACAGCTGTTCGCGCCACAAGACACACCCAACGAACACGGTCGGACAAAGTGCGTCGCGTTACCTCCTCCACCACCTCCGCCACCGCCACCACACTGCCTCAGCACCGGCACGCCGCCGGCACGTAGAGTGACGGTTCGGAATCGTGCGACCTTTGGCGTGCTTCGCTGGCTTTGCCTCTCTCGGAGTCATCACACGCGGCCGCTCGGCGGAGTGTGTGAGCGGTGGGGTGAGTTTCCGAAAAATGGGGGATGATTGATTGGTTTTCTCTCTGGTCTGCCTGCGGCTGCGGTCTGTCTGCGGTGAAGGGACCGGCAGAGCGATTCCGAGAGTCGTTTTCGTCGCTCTGTCTCTCTCGCACTCGTGGGACGTCCTCTGAAGGTGCGAGTGAGACAGGGTGACGAAAACGACTCTCGGAACCAGTGTGCTGGCGACCGGGTTGACCTTCTCGCCCCTGCCCCCGTCGGCCTGCAGGCATGCAGGCATGCGAACACAAGACCGGGACGCGTCACCGTGTCACTTGAACCGCAGCTCGAGTACTCTTGGTAGTCTTGGCCGGCCACGGACCACCACACTGTGAAAAGTTCCGTACTTTAGCACGCAGAAACAGAAGGAAAGGGGGCAATAGGGGGCGGGAAGGGTAAAATTTGGTGCCCAGGAGTTTGGCCGTTAAAAGGGTCTTTGCGGACCAAAAGGGGGAGCGTTTGGCGCCCGTAAACTGCCGTGTTTGGGGCCCGGGGAAACGAAACTCTGGATGCGCTTTGAGCTCCAGAGTCGCTAAACGGGACTCGAATCAAACGTGCGACCCCACCAGTGGATTCCTCGTTCGGAGAGCAATCCATTGGTGGGGTCACATTCTGTTCGAGTCCAGTTAAGTGACTCTGAAACTCAAAAGGCGTCTAGAATTTTTGCCGCCTCCCCCGGTCTTCTGGCCCACTGCGTGAGGGTCGCGAGCCGAAAAAGGCTGAGAATCGCTGACCTAGGAGCCTCGCTGGTCCAGGACCCCGGTCGAGGCCGTCGAGGCCCTGAAGTTCGTCAAGGCCACCAAGGCCGTCAAGGTCACGGAGATCGTCTGGGCCGCAATCGCCAGGCTTAGCACCAAGGTCTTGCAGATACTCCACGCGCTGTTATCGCGATAACCACGTCCGAGATTATGACCACACTAATTGGCTGGGCGTAGTCTGTCTGCTTCGACAGTGGTGCGAGCGTGACGCCAGAGAGAGGGCGAGAGAGAGAGGGAGAGAGGGAGAGAGAGAGAGGGAGAGAGGGAGGGAGGGAGGGGGAGAGGGAGAGAGATATAAGAACGGTCCAAGGCACAAAAGCCGATCCGGCGCTGTCAAGTACACTCTAAATGTTCTACAGTGAAGATTCTCCATATTATGGTGAAAATGTTCCATATTATGGTGGTGCAGCTGACCTTGTAACATACCATTGAGAATTCACTGTACCTTATAGATATTTTGACGAATTTTGTTGGTATTATGGAGAAAATCCCTACCATAATATGTTGGTGCAGCCTTTCACCGTAAGACATTTACAGTGTAGTTTAATTTTTCCGTTCTGTTGTGGGTACAGGTTATTTTCCCGTACAAGTGGGTGTCATGCTTTCGTCGCTCTGTCTCGCTCGCACTCGTGGGGCGCTCCGTCGGGAGTGCGAGAGAGACAGAGCGACGGAACACTTGGTCGCTGGGGAGCATCGAGAGCATGACGCTCTTTGTCGCTGTCGGCCGGGGCCCACCATGGCCGAGGCTAAGCAAGGCAGTGAGTCATCGGGTCCCGCGGTCTCGCGGTCTCGCTTCGCGCCTCACCCGGCCTCACCCTGCCGAGCGATTCAGAAGCTCGATTTGTCGCTCTGTCTCTCTCTCGCACCCTTACGGAGAGCCCCATGAGTGCGAGAGAGACAGAGTGACGAAACGACTCGCGGCTGACTCACCGACGCACCCCGCGATGCCTCTAGCGATGCCCCACGCCCCCAAATCTGCATGCAGTATGCAACCGCCGTTGTTGAAGCGGTCTCGAGGCAGTCGCTCTGTCTCTCTCGCACCCTCGCTGAACGCCGAGCGAGTGGGAGATGGAGCGGTGAAATGACTGGTCGGGCAGGCCATTTCGTCTGCGACTCGACTCGTCATTTCTCTGTTTAGTTTTCTCCCCAGTACGGGGAAGTGCATGAGTGCAGTAGCAGAGCAGCAGCAGTGCGTACCGCGGGAGCGGGGGTGGAGGGAGGGGCGGGAGTAGGGTGGGAGGGGGTGGGAGAGAAGGGTGGTGGGGGAGACTGGTGTCGTAGCAGAAGGCAGCGACAGCGACAGCTGCAGTAGTGGGGGAAGTCTTGCCTGTGGGAGTGGAGTTTGTTGATGATTGTGTCATTAGCTTCTCAGTCACAAACAAAGCGACTTGCACTCGCATCCCGAATCGTTCAAATTACGGCCATGAAGAAGGAAGTCTTCGCCCAGTAGTAGTATGTTGGTGTCGTCCGACAGAAATCCGTTCAATATTTCTTTTCAGTTGAGCAAAGAGATTCGACCAGGGAGGTGGAACAGGTACTGGTTTTCTGCTGTTGCATATGGGACGATTATTGTTTTGCGCTGGACGTCCGTGAATGTTTTGATTTGGTGACACGCTTAAAGAAAGTGCGGTGCACTCAGTAAAAGCCCTCTGGTTCGCTCTAGTTTTCTTGCCCTTGAAATTCCAAGTCATCCATAACCTCTAACCTCCCATTGGTATGACAACCAGAATTGTGATTGTGCTACTGCAATGAGGGTATCCGGTTACACTCGTTTCTTCGTGGATTATTTTTCTTCAGACTTATCTGCCTACCTTATCCTAGTAGGTCTTCTTTTTGGACAATTCTTATGAACCCATTGCTAATTAGTGAAGTCTTTGTTTTCAACTTCCTGTTCTCTATTAACTCTTAAAATATCAGAAATACAAAATTACTGTCCAACACAGCTCTTACATGATTAAAACAAACTTTTTCCACTGAATATTTGGCCTCATTATTTTTACTTATTTCTTTCCAGATTCTATCATGGCCTGCTCTCCAGCCTGCAAGAAAGGGACGGTGTTTAGCGTGGGAACTCTTCTGCTTCTTGGAGGAATTCTTGCTGGTCTATTTTGGTGTGATGTAGCTGATTATATTTATAAAAGTGTAAGCATTGATGCATTTCTATAGTTTAAGACTAATATGTAAAATAATGTTGATCTAATTGTCTTTCTGATTCATATTTTTTCAGCAACTGTCTCTCAGTCCATCATCTGTGGGATTTAAGATGTGGAGAGAAACTCCTATTCCAATGTACCTTGAAATACGCTTCTTTAACTGGACCAATCCTGAGGAAGTTAAAGCTGGGAAAGCCAAACCTAAGGTTCAACAGGTTGGCCCTTACACCTATCTGTAAGTATTTCATTATCTCAATTGATGATCAAAATGTTTCTCTTGGTATTCATGAAGTGGAAATCATCAGTTGCACCTTTTCTTACTTGGTATTTTATTTTATTTTACAGGGAAAAGCATACCAGAGTGAATATGAAGTGGCACCCTGAAAATGACTCAATTACTTTCCAACAAGTTCGAGAATGGCAGTTTGTTCCTTCCATGTCGTCTGGAACACCAGACGACCAAATTGTGTCCCTAAATGTCCTAGCAACAGTAAGTAATTTTGGAATCATGGAAATCAATATGTTTTGTTAATTTGAAAGCCTCATCCTTAATTTTCTTTTCTTTAGACAATTGCAAGCATGGCAAAAAACTTAGGAAGTTTTTATAAAGTACTTCTAAATGCTGCATTAAATTTTGAAGAATCATTTGCAGTTAAGAGAACTGTCAGAGAATTAATGTTTGATGGGTACAAAGACCCGATTCTCAATAAGGCCGCTGTAGTTATGAAGTATTTAAATGTATCATTTCCTGACAAATTTGGTTGGTTCTTTTCGGTAAGTGAGTGAAAATATTTGTGTAAGTCCACATTTGTTTTGTGGCTCCCTCCTATGAATTGCTTCATTTTTGCCTACAATTACAGAGAAATATGTCAGAGACTTATGATGGCACATTTAACATGTACACTGGCCAACAAAACATGAGTCAATTAGGAATGCTCCATTCTTGGAACTATGCTAGTCATACACCGTACTTTAGTGGATCATGTGGTGAAGTCTATGGTACAACAGGTGAACTTCTTCCACCCACTCTTGACAGTACCAAATTGCCTGTATTTGCATCTGATCTTTGCAGGTATGCACTCAAAATTTTTATATCCCTCTTGTCTGGAAGGATTTTGGTTGACTACTCGGTGTCCTTATCAAGTTTAACATTTTTATTTTTCTCTTTTAGTTACGTGTCACTGAACAAAAGTGAGGAGATGGCACAAAAGTATGGTATTGAAGGTGTGAGATTTGAAGGATCACCCGCTGACTTTGATAATGGAACTCTTTATCCTGAATACGAGTGTTTTTCTTTTAAGGGAAAAGTTATGCCTAGTGGTGTCAGGTATTATTATTTTAATGAATTACAGTTTTCTATGATTTGTATATTCAGTTTGTCTAATTCCATTTTCTTCAACCTTGCAGGGATATGTCAAAATGCAGAAATGGTGCCCCAGCATATGTTTCCTATCCTCATTTTCTTGATGCCGATCCTTGGTACATTGACTCTGTTGATGGAATGAACCCCAACCGATCAGAGCATGGTTTCTTTGTTGATCTCGAACCTGTAAGAACTAAGATGCTGGGCCTATGCCAGCTGCTCTTAACATTATTTTTTTCTGATTAATATTGTCATATTGGTTTGAATTTTCAGAGCACAGGACTGCCATTAGAAGTGAAAGCACAATTGCAAATTAATATCTTATTGGAGCCTATCTCTGGCCTTTCGTAAGTTCTTGCCTGTATAATCGCACACCACATTTTGTTTTTCTCTGGTGCTTATGTATATTTGTGATATAATTTTATTTCTTTTTTCAGGATGTATGAAAAGGTTCCCAAGGTTCTTATGCCCATGTTCTTCTTCAGACAAACTGCAGAGCTCACTCCAGAACTTGGCGACCAAGTGAAGCTATTATTGAATTTATCAAGAATCGGAACCATCACATTTTATGGTTTCGCAGGAATAGGGGCTATGATTTTGACCATTGCTGTCATCATCACTGTTCGTGGCAATTGGGGTGATGATGATGAAGCTGCTTCTTTAATCACTCCAACAGCTGATTCTGCTAAAAGACCACAAGAAAACTCCTATTCAGAGATCTATTAACCACAAACATTTGCTCATTTAATTCCTAAACCATTTATTGTAAGTTATCACTTGGGAAAGACTGCACTTTTATTGTATTTTAATTGAAGGACTTGTACTAGCGACAATGTCGGACAATGTGTGAAACATTCCATACATTTTGGCATTTTTGCATTTGCTGACTTACGGGCTGAATGAAGTGCCTCCTTCCTGCCCCTTCTCAACTGCTCCTCAAATAAGCTGAGAGGAAAATGTCTAGATTATATAAACTGTAATATGTACTCTAATTCGTTACAAAAGTTAATTCATTAACGTTTACCTTATGATCCTTTGCACTATGAGACTTTTTAATGCTACTGATAAACCTACCAAGTACTTTGTAATTTTTCATGCCGTTGTTTCCTATCTTCCTTTTTTTTTCCTTCTTCCTACTTTATCTTTATTTTTTGTGTAGTATCATCATGTTAGATTTTTTTCTCAAAGATTGTGTTAACGCATATGTAAAATTTATTGAAGATGTTGTATCTGCAATGGCCTGTAGCATGGTCTTCCAATAACTTTTTCAAAATAGCGGTGGTTTTTTTTTATTGTTTAAAATAAGTGTGTATATGATATTTATGTAACTGTGATAGTATTATATTGTATGTTACAATAGTTTTGTCCCAATGAATTCAATAATGCTAGTCTGTTTTTCAAGGCTCTCTCAAAAGTTGTATCCTCATTAGGGCTTTTATACTTCCACTTTTACCTAGGCTTTTGCACACTGATAGTGTGTTGCCATTTGCTATGTACAGGGTTCTGTAATCAAAGCACCTTATCCAATTTTGTTTTGGTTCACATTTTAATAGAATGCCTCACTGCTTCAGAAGTTTGCAGTCATAGGCTGCTTGCTAAGTCTTTTATTGTCTCTGGGACCATTGAAGAAATAATTGAAATGCTAGGGAAAATATAAGGTGCTGCTACATAACAAAGTTCCTTCTGCAACCTTTCTATGTAGTGGTGATAATGGAGAAATGCATTGTAAATTGCGCTGCCCCCAGCACCATTTGAACCTTGTTCAGCTACCATTACTGTCTGAAGAATATAACATGCTTGCATTGTAAGATAGCAAAACCAGACCAAGGCATATCTGCCAATCTGAAGATAAGGAAAACACTTGCTAAAGCACTTGTACCCTCATTTGTGCGGCAAGGCTGGCAATCAGCAAGCCTTTTTTTAACATTTTCATTTGGTTAAAATTTTATTTGTGTTCTGCGGTCATAAAATTATTGTGTGTGTGAACCATAAAAGCTTTATAAACCATTAATTCCTTTCATGGTGTGCATTGTCATATCACCAAATTCTATGTGCCATAATGAACCTGTTACCCAAATGGTTAACCATATTACAGTGGAACCACTGGGAACAGATGGCAGTTATGTCCTCACAAGCTCAGGTTATTTTTTTAAATGTCTTGATAGGGTCACTTTTTGTTACCATAGGGTGTGTATCTAGTCCCTCAAATAGAATCTTTTGTGTTCATTTTCCCCTCCTGGTTTGGTGTCAAGGATGAGAAGAGCAGAACTGAATTTGGAGTAGAGCTTGCACCTGGACCGACTGTTAGTAAATATGTGGCCAAACGTTCCTCTGGGTGTTACCTTGCATTCAAAACTTTTTCTGCTATCAGTTAGTATCTTAGTTTAAAAAGACCTTGTGAAGAAGCATTTTTTTTACCTTGTGCCTTTTGGTAGTAAGTATGGAAAGAATAATTAAAATTCAATAATCAAAATATTCCCTATAATATTGCTTAAGAATTTTGGCTTGTTTCTTTTGTTGTTTTTTCATAATTTGAGAGTGATTTTGTAACTTGGTTTGTTTACCGCATTTCATTTTCACCACTCGAGAGTGCCTTTTTTGTTCACTCTAACTTTTGCTTTTTTGTACTAATTAATTAATTAATTAGTACAAAAAGCCTTAGCAACATAGCTAGTTCTCCCATTTTGCACCATAAGCATTAACTATTTTCAATTTTAGAAAGAGAATTGCAATTTCTAATGATGTGTGACTGTTCCAGTCATTCATGGTAATTCAGTGATCATAGTAATCAAATCTTGTACTTTTGTAGTTGCTGCTATGGGATTGCAATAATTTTGTAATTGCTTTGGAAAGAATTTCCTGCAGGTGTGGTTTTCTGCTAAGGACGATGTCAATTCTACATGACTCAGGCAATCTCTGATCTATCTCTCTTGATAATCTTGATGGCTTGAAATTCCGTGAAGGAAATCTGTGATAAAAATGTAAGAAATTTCTTTTTGCCATATGCTTGCTCACATTTCTGCACCTATCAACCACTGTTTGGGTGTGGGCTTTGTGACTGACACTTTACAAATGTTTCTGTCGTAAATTATTTTGCCCATGAAAAACGATTCTTCAAGACCTTTGCATAACTGAGCTTGATTGTATCATTAAGTATTTTGTATGAAACATCAAAAGTGCCTCATTAATGAAATATTTAAGAACGCAGTTGCTATGTGTACCCTCTAACTTGTGATATTAATGTTTAACTTTTGTCAGATTCTAATTCTATCGTTGAACTGTTCAAAAGACCTTTGCTCGAGGCATTACTTAACCTCCTCGGGAAAATGTAGGTACTTCATGTGTCAATTTGTTAAATGTCCAAGAAATAATTCAAGCAGCAGTTATTTTTACTAAGGAGGATCTTTTTATTCCTTATTTTCTGGGCAGTAATGTTTTGTAGCAGAACCTTTTAACTTTTTATCCCTTTTTGTACTGCATTAGGGCCAGCACATCGATCAAAAAAGGGCCAAACCTCTAGCAAGTAAAAACTGTAAGGTAAAATGTAATCAAGTTTTTTGTGTGGGGTTTAGTTTTACTTTCCTCTCATAAGTGGCATGTGCTTCCTTCTCTCCCACAAACTATCACCTTGCACTTTAGCGGTGTTCTAGTTCTATTCCATCAGCAGGGAATGACTAGCATGTTCTCTCCTGGTTGTATTTGCATTGGCTAAACTCTTGATTCCTGGTGACCTGCGTCGCTCGCTGCCTGTCCCTCACATTTCAAGCAGCGCTATGTGGATGTAGCTGCCTCATTGCTACGTGGCAAACCCAGTGCTGTTCAATAAATGTTCACGTTGGTCATGTGTCATGTGTGTCACAAGTAAGGCATCGAATTAAATACCTATGATCAAATTTACTTTGTCGTGTCATTTCCTCCTTGCATGTGACATGGGGTAGACATGAGACTGTGGGAGTTAGTTGTTCACAACATTATTTTATTTCCTTTCAAGTACTGGCTCCAGTCAGCTTAAAGCTGGTTGTAGTGGATCTCGTCGTTGACGTTGACGATCTGGTGCTGGCCAGACACGAACTTGGGGAGGTGGTCGAAGTCGTTGACGTTGTTGACGTCGGCAGCCTCGTGCTGGTAGTAGTAACCCTGCTGGGGGACGGTGCTGTCCTTGTGGTAGACGTACACGGTCTGGAAGTGCATGTTCTGGGCCTGCTCCCAGCGGCCGAAGTTGTCGATCTTGCGGTCGAAGGGGAAGCCGAGGGGACGGTTGTCGACGACGGTCATAAGGCCGTTGCAGGAGACGACGTTCTGGCCGTGGGGCACGACGGTCTCGTGGTAGTAGTCACCGTGCTGCTGCTGCTCGCCGTCAACGCCGTAGGGGGTGACCATGACGAAGAGGGTGAGGGGCAGACCAGCCTTGTGGCCCATGGGCAGGGCCAGGCGGTCGGGGAAGCCGCAGTGGTGGTCCACGTTGTCGACGAACATGTTGCCGGACTCGGCCAGCTTCTGGAGAGACTTGAAGGACGGGCTGTCGCCAACGGTGGTGGTGAACTCGCGGGAGTGACGCTCGATCACGTTCTCGCCCTGGTTCACTGCGGGCAGGAAGGAAAGGGTTTGTTAGGCAAGTCCCACAGGGTCAACAGACAGTGGGCTCGAAGACCGGGGGAGGCGGCCAAAAATCTAGACGCGTTTTGAGCTCCAGAGTCGCTAAATGGGACTCGAACCGAGCGTGTGATTCTACCAATGGATTCATCTTTCGGAGAGAAATTCATTGGTGGGGTCACACGTTCGGTTCCAGTCCCATTTAGCGACTTTAGAGCTCAAAACGCGTCCGGGATTTTGGCCGCCTCTATCGGTCTTCTGGCCCACTGTGCAACAAGTGCAGTGGAGCATAGAGCAGCTCTAAGTACTTACGGTCGACGGGGATGCGGTCCAGCTCGACGAACATGTGGCGGAGGCGGTCGATGTCGGCGGTGTTGTGGCCGTAGTAGACGTCGGAGGCCTGCTTGCCGTAGAAGTTGGAGTGGACGTAGTCGGCGTTGGGGCCCAGGAAGACGCGGATCACGGCCTTGGTCTTCTTGTCGCTCTCAACGTTGACCTTGTAGGAGAAGGGCTTGTGGTTCAGACGGGCGGTCTTGGCGACGAAGTTGATCTTGTCGGCCTCATCGGCGGTGTTGACCTCGACGGCGTGGTCGACGTTGACGTCGAACAGGTCGAAGTAGGTGACGAGACGGTCGGTGGCGACCTGCTTGATGGCGACGCCGGGGTAGATGAGGTCCTCGGTGCGGTAGGCGGGCAGCTTGTCCTTGTACTGCTGGAACAGACCGTTGATGTGCTGCTGAACGGCGTAGAAGGCGGGGTCGCGGAGGGCGGTCTCGTAGTGGCCGATGACGCCGGGGGCGACGCCGTGCTCGTTGCTGGGGTCCATGATGAGGGCGACCAGGTTGTGGAGCATGGAGACGTAGGAACCGTAGTAGCGGGAGTTGACGGCGTCCTCGTTACCCTCGACGATGTTGCCCAGGATGTTGATGCCGTGGACGAAGCTCTTGATGGAGACGGTGTTGCCGTCCTTCTGCAAAGGGAAGTCCAAGGGGATTAGAATTAGTCGCGGCCCGCCGCCAGACGGAAAGGTCGTCACACAACCGAGAAAACTTACGCCGACGACGTAGCCGGAGTCAATGGCGTCCTTGATGCGCTTCTCGATGATCTTGACGTCCTCGACGGTGTAGGAGTTGAGGCTGGAGATCTCGTAGTTGTCGGGGCGGGCGGGGAAGTACTTGCCGTTGTTGTAGACGAGGTCGGGGTTGTAGCCGTGCTGCGGATAGGAAAAAAGCGCTTCGTTAAAAGACTGACTCGGGTACGGAATAGTTGGAAAGTCGCGCAGGGAGCTCCACTTACCTCAATGGGCTCGGTCCAGTCGAAAGCCTTCATCTCGGGCAGGTAGTTGGCCATGCGGTGCAGGTTGTAGTGGGCAACCAGCTGCTGGTAGAAGTAGTAGAAAGCCTCGCCGCGGTTCTGGTCGATGTTCAGGCCGTACTTCTCGCTGTTGAGCCAGAAGGGCTGGTAGAGGTGGGCGTAGGCGTGGTAGGCGTTGAGGCCGACGTCCTGGGTGAAGTAGCCAAGGAGGTCCTCGGGGTGGAGGATGGCGGAGTTGGTGGTCCAGTTGGTCATGGCGTTGTAGTTGATCTTGCCCTGCATCTTGGCGCTCTGGAACTCGGCCATGTCGCTGCCGTGGAAGTACAGGTGGGGGTACACCTCGTACAGGGGAGGGAGGACGACGCCGTAGGTGTCGTCACGGTGGATGACGGCGACGCTCAGGGCGTAGGCGAACTGGCCCTCGTTGACGTGGACGCGAGCCCAGGCGGCGGTCTTGATGAAGGTGTCGAAGTCCTTGGCGAAGTACAGCATGTCGAAGAGAGCGACAGCCTCCTTGAGCTGGGAGTCGTTGTACACGTGGAAGATCTCGCCCTTGGGGAGCATGCCCTGCTTCCACATGGAGAAGAACTTCTTGACGACGTACTGGTTGGCGTAGCGGTCGGCGATGTGCTCGGGCTGCCAGCTCTTGGCCAGCTCGATCAGCTCGGGGTACATAAGGTCCTGCTGGACGCGGACGAGCAGCTGCAGGATGAGCTTCTGCTTGGTGGCAACATCCTTGGACACTGCAAGCAGAAGGCGTTCCCATGAGGCTCGGGCCTCACACTGCAGGCACACTGCGGGCCGCCGTGGACAGCCGTAGAGGCCTTCGCCTTCGCCACTCGGCGAGTTTTCAGAGGGAATTCACGGCGCACTGTGGGCCAGAGGGCCGGTGAGGCGGCCAGAATACTAGACGAGGTCTGAGCTTCAGAGTCGCTAAACAGGACTCAAACCGATCGTGTGACCCCACCAATGGGTTCCTCTTTCGAAGGGCAATCGATTGGTAGGGTCAGACGCTCGGTTTGAGTCCCATTTAGTGACTGGCGCTCAAAACGCATCTAGAATTTTGGCCTCCTCCACCGGCCTTCTGGCCCACTGCAGGCGCTGCAGGCCACCGTGGAGCCCTCGCCACTTGGCGAGTTTTCAGAGGGAAGTCGATTTGACTTACCCTGGGAGCCGATGGGCTGCTGGTGGACGGAGTTGTAGCTGGTGGGCACGTAGGTGGGGATGGCGGCAGCCACCGCCACGAGGGCGGCCAGGGCGAAGAGGACCTTCATGTTGATTCACAACTGACCAAGTGGTACCGTTGCCTGCTTCTCTGGGCCCTTTTATACGAAGCCAGTCCCAGGGCCCCCAGGGCCCGGGCCAGTGCGCGGCAGAGGGCAGCTCGGTGTCAACGGGTATCGGGGCGACCAGGGTGACCCCCCGCCCCGCGTGAGCATCTCGCTCCCGGGGCCCCGCAGCAGCCCCATGGCAACCAAGGCGGCTGTCTCTCTCGCACGGCCGGCAGCACCGCCCCTGCGACGCAGAGAAAAAGAGATAGACAAGTAACGCCACTCTTTGAACAAGGCAAGAAAACAACGGTCATTTTGGGCAGATTGGGACGGAACGCGCTGCTACCCGACACCGCCGCCCGTGATAAGCGAAATCAGGCTTCGACGGCAGACCGAGATGAGCCAACTATTTGTGGACATTACTTGTTTCGAGAACAATTTCGGCCCTAAACAGCCTTTTTTCTGGCGATAAACTGGAACTGTTTGTGCAAGCGCCACAACTCATCGTTTATTACCTCTTCGCCGCACCAGAGCTCAACTAGCGTCTGATTTCTCTAAAAGCTTGCATGTTGTACATATTACCTGATTAATTAGACTTAGACTACCAATTCTTGAAGTATATTTGTTGCTGTTCCTTTTGTTTTGGTAATCACTCAAAGATTTTTTTTTCAAATGATCACATGGTGTTTGCTCTTAATTAAATGGTTTTAATTGTAAAAAAGTAAACTTCATATTTCCATAATGAAAATGTGAGTGAAAAAAGGAGTGAAGTTATTTCGATAGTCAGAGTCGGTTGTAACTTTCTCTGATTTAAACTTGCCTGTGTCTAAATAACTAATTTGTTCATTTTTTATTTACTTTTTATTGAAAACAATAAAAGGGGAAGATATGTACTCTTGTAAATAATTGTCTGGAGCTTATAAAACCCATTGGAATTGTAATCATCTTATGTAACTTAACATGAAAGTCACATTTTTTCCACACTTCAGTGAGAGCACAAAGGTCTTCCCTGTGACGTGTCAAAACAGTGGTCTACCTTCCGGGCGCTGTACCACAGAAGGGGTAAAGAAATAAGAACAACCATTCTGCACGTACATTTCAGGTCACCCGATGTTCCTACCCTGTAGTACACTGCCATCCAAACCGTGCTGCTGGACAGAGTGATGATCACCTGGTGATTTGCAGGGATCCCCCGAAGTAGTATTCGGCAACTCGGTAAGGGGGTGCTGCGCCCATCGGGCTTCCGTTCGCTCGCGGGGTCAGCTTTAGCCTTGGTGCCTTCAGTTCGGACACGGCGTGCTTGGCCAAGTACACCTCCAAGCAAGCTCACTACCCTCAGTAGTAGCATGCACCAGAAAGGTAAACATCGTCCACAGCCGCCCTTGTGGTCGTCAGAACGGGCTCGCCACGCGGTGTGCGTTGGGCTGCCTACCTGCACGGCGCTCCACTGTCGAAACATACATAATGTAGAAGAAGAGGATGAAGTTTTGGGGATTTTCTTTCAAGTGTTCTGAAGATTTTTTAGAATTGTGACATGGGCCACGCTCGTCCCAAATGTAGGTAAAATCTTTTCCTTTTTTTTAAGTATCTGTCTCAATTATTTTAAATCACAACTGCTGAAAGCACAGTGCCGCGTTATCATGAAGGGACACGCAAGGTTTAAGTTAAGATGCCGGAATTGAGAGGTAAATCGAGGATGTAATATAAGTACTTTAATAAAATGTATAGATAACTTTTAGATCAATCATAATTTACATAAAACATAACAAACGAAGCTTAAAAATTAAAACAAACATATACCAAGTATGGCAGTAGTTTCTTACATGTATTGATATGCAAGGCCAGATACTGGTACACCAAGGCACATTTATTACTTGAATAACAGTTTGACAGAACAATGAGACCTCATGGAGAACGGCAAGTCTTCAGATGAGGTGCGGTAAAAAACAAAAGATGGTGTGAATATTTCAAAATACAGACTATACTAGCTTACTTTGGCTTCCCAATGAAAAACATGAAAGTCAGTTTTAGACAAGAAGGAAATATTACACTCAATACATAATGTACATACTCTACTAACTCAATCAATGTTAAGTACAAATTCTACGAAGCTGCTTTGGAATGTAGCTGATGTGTGCTTTGAAAAAATACAGATCAAACAGAGCCTGAGGAGCACAGTTCCCCTAAGCTCATGCCACTTTGAATACATTTCTACAATAGGCACAAAAGAGAAGACAAACCACTCAGTTATGTAATTTAAAAGAAGAAATTGTTAACAAATTGATGCACACTAGGTTGCTGATTTTATCAGTCATAATATATATGTATATATATCACACTAACGCACTCACCTTAAATGGTGATAAAAACAGTGAATGTACTACATTCAAAAACACAATTTGAGTTGATTTGACTAATTATACTCAAATAAGGTGGATCAAAACAATTAAGTGAAAGATTTTAGAGATAGCATTTAACAGAAAACAAAGCTTTAATTTGAAATCCCACTATACTTGCAAGTAGTACCAAAACAAAAAGAGAGAGAGAGAGAGAGAAAAGAAAAAGGGAAATAACATGTGAACCTCATATACAAGGCAGGCACAGTACGTTTAGACAAAAATTAAATACATTTCCTAATGCAAGAGTACACCGCTACAGAAAAAAAGATGAAAAACGGAGCTATGAGAGTAATGCAAATAAAATACATTGCAATATTGCAAAATGAGGAGTGAAGCATTAGACTTTATACCTCCTTTTGTCATTTTTATATTAATTAACTTACTTCACTTAAATTTGACATTCTAGACAAAGCTAAGATGACAGATCATGGAGTCATGAAAGAGTTTAACTAGGTATTCACGAGACAAGAAAGAAATTAAAAAGCAATTGCGTTCAAGTAAGTTTCAAAATAAACACTTGAACGCCTCAGCAGCTAGTGACTTAACAGAGAGGTACACTCATCCATTACATAATTGAAGAAAATACTAGAAATACATATTTGAGATCAGTTTGAGATACCAAACAAGATAACATGGTGTATCTGTTTCATGAGCCACTGAGTACTCACTTTTACAACCAAATCATTGATTAAATTTTTGTAACAAGTACATATGCTACAAAACCAATCAATTTACTAAATCTCTAAAGTAAAGTCACATGGCAATAATTTTACTTCACAGATCTCACACAGGCTTAGCTGAATGAAAATGAGCTTGGAAAGAATAATAGAAAAAATTTAATTTAGGGAATGTTTTAAAGTAATGTTGACAAGTCTAATTGCACCTGGTAATCCAGAGACAACCAAGTCTTAGGTTTGGAATGTAGACATATTGCACTTCCTTAAAGTAAGGCAGGTACCTCAATAGCTCAAAATCATAACAAAGTACACAAATAAAAATAAAAATGAGAAAAAGACAAGGCAGTAAATGCACCACAATCTTTCACTGTTAATGCCAAACCAGAAATCGAAATATTTTGCTACACTATCTTTGGTAAAAACTCATAATCACTCCATTTTCAATTAATTAAGCTGTCCTTGCCTTATTTTAGCTAGACAAAAAAAATGCTAGTCCATTCTTGACTTTAAAAAGACTCTGTAACCACTAAACAAATCACCCGCAGTACTGACTAGGTATAAATGCAGGCTCATGCTTTGGTTGCTAGTTCAGAAGATATAATTAAAACTTAGATCTTCCATATTTACAAACATAACAATGACCATTGTTTCTTAAGGTTTCAAAGTAACTTTAGTCTGAAAAGCATACATTAGAAGAGGGCTTACTTGAATCAGTCTACCTTCCCATGTCTACCCATTGATATATTTGCCAGCATCAGAGTATGTGTGAACAGAGGTCCAAAAAAAAAACAAAAATATATGGCAACAGGAAGTACATAAGCTTTACAATTTAAAAATTAAAAACGACACAATGACTTAAACTTTTTACATATTTGGACTTAAATAAAATAGATAACTTTGGATTGAGATTTTTGTAAGACAGTAAATATACTTCAACAGCACCTTTCTCACAATGAGTTACAAATAATTAAGTACGCCCATTGCTACTTACGCTCCCGTTCTTGTAAACGCCAAGAAGTTTTTCAGCATCATCTGCCGACTTAGTGAGCAGTACTTTATCAATGATGGAGGGGTCACCAATTCCCAAGAGATTACTTATGAGACCACTATTTTCCTCCTCTTTTCTACGAAAGTTATTTCTACGAAAACTGCGCTTCAGGTTCAAACGGTTGTCACATATTGCCATGTACATTTTGCTCACATCGGCCACATTAATATTATTATTGTTGTGGTTTGTCATGTTCACATGATAACCCTCCTCCTCGCCACTGGTTGCAGAGGGTGAGAGATCCTCAGGACCCGTTGAATTCACAAATGGAGTACTTAAACTGTTGTTGTTGTTGTTTGAGATATCACTGTGCTTCTTTCGATGGCGTAACATGCTGTGCTTCAGGGTGAAACGCCTACGGCACACATCACAGGAGAAAGGGCGTTCTCCTGTGTGGGTGCGCATGTGGCGACGGAGGTCTTCAGCAGACCAGAAGCGGCGCATACAAAATGCACACATTACCTGGAGGCAAAGAAAGCAAAGAAGTAAGCACATGGCAAAACAATGATTAGATAATACAGGAATGGATTGCGGTCACTTGAATATGTTGCTCTACCTTTCTGTTGGCGTAGTCTGGGAACTTGCCACGAATGTGCTCAATGTTCTCTCCATCCGCATGGTGGTTTTCCTCCATGACATTGTTGTCCTCAGGTGAAGTGTTGACGTTCAACTCCAATGCTCCCTTCGACAGCAAGATCTCGTACTCGGACGCGTGGTTCAGTCTAATGTGGTCTAGGCACTCCTGTCGCTCTGTGAAGCTCCCGTCACAGAGATGGCACTTGAAAGGCAGTTCTGACGACGACAAGTTCATCGACGCCTCTGTGGGCCGGGCGTTCCCCTCCGGGATGCTCACGACCGGGGCAGAGATAGGCTGTGAGGACATGAGGCTGTTGTGGGCCTCCTTCATGATGTCGCTTCTGTCCAGCCGGTCCAGCCTGTCCAGGTCGGGCGGCCGGCGCAGGTTCAGGGCGGCCTCCTCCTTGAGGCTCTTGCCCAACTTGGCGTCCAGGTCGCCTCTCTCCACCTTGCACAGGCTGAGCGGCTGGTCCAGGACGGCGGTGGGGCAGAACACGGGGATCTTCATCTCCAGCTCGGCCTTGAGCTCCTTGTCCTCGGCGGGCTCCACGTCGCTGACGCTGCCGTGGCTCTCGTAGCCGCTCACGTTGGCGGCGGCGTCGCTGGGCAGGATGCAGCTCTCCAGCGAGGCGCCGGTGTGCTTGGTGGCCACGTGCTTGCGGAGGTTGCTCAGCGAGGCGAAGGTGGAGCTGGGGCAGTGGCGGCAGCGGTACGGCCGCTCCGGGACGTTCCTCAGCGGGTAGCTCTGGCCGGGCGGGCTGAGCGCCGAAGGCCGCGTCAGCGTCAGCAGCCCCTCCGGCGGGGAGCCGCTGCCCGCCGAGGAGCCCGGCGACACGCTGGTCGTGCTGCTGTTGGGCGTGCTGAGCGTGCTCACGCCGCTGCTGCTGCTGTTGGCGTCCTTCTTGTTGCTGTGCTTCCTGCAAGCAGACACAACGAGGCTCAGACTCCAGGCCAGAACCATCGGGGAAGTCCCAGGCACACATGCGGCTGGCGCACAGTGGGCCAGAAGACCGTGAGGCGGCCAAAACTCTAGACGCCTTTTGAGCTCCAGAGTCGCTAAATGGGACTCGAACCGAACGTGTGACCCCATCAATGGATACCTCGTTCGGAGAGCAATCCATTGGTGGGGTCACACGTTCGGTTCGAGTCCCAGTTAGCGACTCTGGAGCTCAAAAAGCGTCTCGAGTTTGGACCGCATGCGCCGGTCTTCTGGCCCATTGTGTGGGAGGTGCGCTTACCTGGCCAAGTGGCGGTCGCAGTTGCTCTTGGTGGTGAAGAGCAGCGGGCAGTACAGGCACTTGTAGGGCTTCTGGCCCGTGTGCGTGAGCACGTGGCGGCGCAGCGAGGACGTCCAGGGGAACTTCCGCGAGCAGTACGGGCAGCTCACCCGGTTCGGCGCCATGGAGTAGGCGCTCTTCTTCTTCATGGGTGCGGCCGCGCTCTCGGACTCGGACTTGTCCTGGAGGAAGGAGGGCGAGGCGTTAGTGATGCCCAAACAGTCCACAATCAGCTAGAAGACCGGCTCATGCGGCCTAAACTCCAGACGCATTTTGAGCTCCAGAGTCGCTAAACTGGACAGCTCAAACCAAACGTGTGACCCCACCAATCGATTGCTCTCCGAACGAGGAATCCACTGGTGGGGTCCCACGCTTGGTTTGACTCTGGTGCTCGAAACGCACTTTTGGCACCCGCCTGCGCCGGTCTTCTGGCCCACTGCAGTCTCGACAACAAATGCCAACGCGAAGCTTACCTGCTCACTACCCGAGTTGTTGCCCTCGCTGGGCGAGCCCGCCACCAGGCCCTCCTCGTCGAGGTCCTCCTCGCTGCCGAGACCCTCCTCGGCGTGGCCGGCGTGGCCGGCGGGCGCGGACTCCCTGGTGGACGGGGTGCTGGGGACGACGGGCTCGTCGCCCTCGCGGAGGAACTGCTGGAACGTCTGGATGGAGGCGTTGTTGAGCAGCTTGGACACGCTGGCCAGGTCCTCGCCGGCGGCGGGCGTGGAGGGGGCGGCGGACGCGTGGTGCATGTCGTCTTCGGCGTCACCCTCCACGCCGTCGTCGAGGTGGTGGTGGTCTTCGCTGGACGGCCGCTCCTCGTCGATAACGAGACCCTCGTCCTCGTCGTCCTCGTCGTGGTGCTTGCCACCGGCCGGCATGAAGGCCGCGTCCACGGACGGCGCCCGCAGCGGGGTGGAGGCGTCCATGGGGGTGGGCGGCGCGGGGGTGGTTGGCGGCGTGGGCGGCACGCCGCTGGGGCCGCGGTGCCTCTGGCTCCAGAACTGCGGGTGCTGGTGCTTGACGTGGCGCTCGCGGTTGGAGGAGAGCGTGAACCGCGCCGAGCAGTGCTCGCACACGTGGGGCCGCTCGGTGCGGTACCGCCGCTGCTTCTGCTTGGGCATGAGCACGCCGTTCTTCATCACCAGCTTGCTGCTGCCGTTGCTGCCGGTGCTGCTGCCGCTGCTGGGCCCCAGGCCCTCGCGCAGGCCCTGCTGCGGGCACTCCGATGCCGACATGGAAGACATGCTGCGCTCCGACTTGGGGCTGGCGGGGCAGGCGGGCTCGTCCTTGGCCGCGTCGGTCAAGCCCTGCGGCAGGGGCAGGGGCACGGGCAGAGTCGAGTCGCCGGGCACACCGGGCACGCCGGACGGCAGGAAGGGCGGGCGCTGCAGCAGGCGCATGGGCTCCAGCACCAAGCCGCCACCGAGCTGGCCGAACTGCAGGCTGCGGAGCAGGCCGGGGTAGTAGGCCGGGAACGGCAGTCCCGGGGCGAGGCCCTGGCCCAGGCCCTGGCCCAGGCCCTGGCCCAAGCTCTGGCCGGTGGCCGCCGCCACGCCCAGCTGGTACGGGTTCACGTACAGCGAGCCGAGGCCCGGGAAGGGGAGCGCCGCCTCCGGCGACTGCAGCGGGGTTGACTGGTTGTTGACGTGGAGCTGCGTGGCGGGGGCGGCCGCGGACTCGGTGGAGGCCTTCCGCGACAGGTCCTGTGGCTGCTCCTCGACCTCGTCTATGTCCTCGTCCGCCAGGATCTCGTCCTCGGCCTCCAGGTCCACCTCGACGGGGCTGAGCGGCCGCTTCTTGGACAGGTCCAGGACCATGCTGAGGTCGAGCGGCGACTGCCGCCCGTCTTCGGCGACCTCATCGTCGACGGGGTCGTCCTGCTCGTCGCGGTGCTGGTCGTCGCCGTCCTCGGAGGCCGTCATGGTGCCCACGTCCAGGCTGTGGCGGCGGCCGTCCTCCAGCAGGGGCTCGGCGAACAGCGACCGCTTCACGTCCAGCTTGCCGTGCTGCTGCAGCTGCTGCTGAAGCTCGGGGTCGTTGCCTGGGTCCTCGGACGGGTGGTAGATGATGGAGCTCTTGACCTCGTCGCGGGAGCACTTGGCGTGGCGGTTGCGCAGGTGGCGCTCGCAGTTGGCTTTGGTAGTGAAGGCGAAGCGGCAGAGCGCGCACTCGTAGGGCCGCGCGCCGTTGTGGGTGCGCATGTGGCGCTGCAGGGCCACCTTGTCCAGCGCGGAGTGCGGGCACATGTTGCAGCGGTAGCCGTCCGCGCTGGGGCCCATGTGCACGCGGTTGTGGCCCTTGAGGGCGCGCAGGTTGGGGAACACCTCGGTGCACAGGCGGCAGGGGAACTCGCCGCGCTGCTTCATCCGCCGGAACTCGGCGGCGAACGCGTCCTGCTGCTCCTCGTGGTCGTCGCGCTCCTCGCCGTGCTCGCTGCTGTGGCTGTGGCCCATGGCCGTGCCCATGGCCACGCCGCTGGCCGCGCTCGCGCTCAGGATGCTGGGGATGTCGGCCAGGTCGCGGTCCAGGTAGGCCGGCGGCGCCAGGCGGGCCATGGCGGCGGGGCTGGTGGCCTTGTTCAGCAGGTCCAGCTTGGCGAAGAAGTCTCCCTTGGGCGACTGCGCGGGCACGCCGTCGAGGTGGACGCCGGCGTGGGACAGGTCGGCGGGGGAGTCGACGTACACCGTGTTGGGGCAGGCCTGCAAGGCGACACGAGAATTAACGAATGCTACAAAGTGCTACGCGGGGCTGGCGCGGTGGTATTCGAACCCGGTGTCTACCTGTCGATGGATCGCTAGCGCAGAGTCGCACGGGAACGCGAGCCCGCACTCGCACTGGAAGGGGTGCAGGCGGCTGGCGGCGCGGTGCAGGCTCTTCTCGCACTCGGCGCGCGCGATGTGGGCGAACTTGCGGCTGCTGAAGTCCACGAAGGTGAGGTCCTTGAAGCCCACCACGTCGCGGGCGCGGCTCGCCTTGCCGCCCGACCGGTGCGCCGTGTGCACGTGCAGGTTGAGGTCGCGCACGCTGCGGTACGTGCCGCCGCACAGGTCGCACGAGACGCTGTAGTCCCGGTGGCTCTGTGGCAGCGAGGAAGACAGCGGATCGTAAGGCACGGGTTCGAATACCAATATAGCCAGCTCGTTTTCGTTATGACTAGTAGCCTCTGCCCGCGCGATGCAGAGTGGACTGGAAGACCGGTGGAGGTGGATGAAATTCTAGACGTGTTTCGAGCCAAACAGGACCCAAACCGAACGTGTGATTCCACCAATGGATTCCTCGTTCGAAGAGCAATCCATTGGCGGGGTCACACGTTCGGTTTGAGTCCTGGATTGCGACTCTGGAGCTCAAAACGCGTCTTGAGTCCTCCTGTTTTGTCCTCCTGCGCCGGTCTTCTGGCCCACTGTGGGCTGGCGGCCTAATTGATTGCTTACATGCTCCAGGTGCGCCTCCAGCTCGGGCAGGTAGGGCGCGCGGAAGGGGTTGGAGGCCGGGCACACCGGGCAGGTGAAGCGCGGCACGGCGGGCAGAGCGGCCGCGGGCAGGGCGGCCGGGGCGGCGTCCCCGTCGCTGGCCGGCGACATCTGCTTGGCCTCCACCTCGTAGTCCGTGTCGTCGGGGTCCTTGCGCCGCTTGGTGGCGGTGCCCCTCATGTTGGCCAAGTCACTGCAACGGGAATCAATCAATGAGTCCAAAGTGGGGTGATTATGGGACACGGGGTAAAAGTGAGTGATCATCTGACAGAACAACGTCTTCAAAGTGAATCCCACAGTGGATACGCCGTCATGTATGAACGCCACTCGAGTGGGACAGCTGATTCTTAATCAAGAATTGACTATTTTCAACTCATGCCATACCAAATGGGATGTTTTTATTGAAAAAAAAACAACAACATTTGGTATGACGTGAGATCAAAATTGTCATATCTTGAGCAAGAGTCAGCTACCCCAAGTCCACCGAGGCAACCGTCTCAAAACCAGTGTCTCAAGAAAATTTTTTTGTTAGAATCCGGGTAAAGCAAGGTTGCAGTGTACTCACGGCCTGAGCAGGTCCATGTGGCCGTCCAGGTGTCTGCGGGCGTGCCTCGCCAGGCCCCCGTTGGTGCGCAGCGCCTGGCCGCACAGCGGGCACTTGAACACCTGCTCGCCGGGGTGCGTCAGCACGTGCCTGCAACAGCGGAGCCGCGCGGAGCGGCCAAGGTGAGACTTTGAGGCAGGGAACAAGGAGTAGTACGGGGAACCGGAAGAACCTAGAGGAATGTCACGTCTCTGGAAGGTAGGCAACCCAACCGGCTTCACTGCTAGCCTGCTAGCGCGCCGCCGGGACACTAGGCCACCCAACTGGCACCCCCACTCCCCACCGGGTCCCGCACCCTTCCCCCTCCCCCTCCCCCGGCGCGGTGTCGCGTCCGTCATCGACAGCGTGAGGAACGACGGGCAGCTCGCGGAATGCAGAGCGGCGATCGAAGATCGAAGGCGAACTCGGCGGTTCGAATACCGGCTGCGCATTGTTTTCCCGGCGTGCATTTTAAGGCGGGCAGCGGCAATGTCAAGGCGCTCCCATAGACAAGGCGGCTCGTTGTGGCAGTGGCGTGGCGCGCCGCGGTCGTGGGATCCTCTCTCCTTTGCCTGCTCCAGCGTTGCTCGCCGGCAAGGACGAGATGGTTTGCACCAATTAGCCTGGCCGCGAACCACGCACAAAAACGAGACAGTTTCGGCCCGGGAAAATATGTAATGTACATGCTGAGAAGTCATCGGTTTTTCACGCGCCAGCGTGAACTGCAGCACTGAGCCCGGCGGCGGCGGGCTCTTTCCGTCTCTCTCGCACCCCGACGGAGCGCTCCGTGAGTGCGAGAGAGACGGAGTGACCAAAGCACGCACTTCTGACGGACCGGGCGGCACAAGTGCGTGGAGCCTTGGAGGCGCGTCCGCGCGAGCGACCGACGAAGAGCGACAAAAAGCGCGCCGAGGAAGGTTTCCGGCGGACCAACGGACGGACGGATGGACGGACAGACAGACAGACACGCGCGCTGGACTCGAGACCGTCATCCTCGCGGACACCGACACCGCGGGCCGCAGCTTGCAACGCATGCCGAATGCCACTAGACCGATTCCGAGCATCGTTTTCGTCGCTCGCACCTATACGGGACGCTGCGTGAGTGCGAGCGCGACAGAGCGACGAAAACGACTCTCAGAATCAGTCTGCAGGCTAGCGTCATCCGCGCGACTGAAATTCCTAAATTGCCGCCGGTCGGGCGAGCTGCAGCGTTGCAGCGAGTTTCGACTTTTTTGGGCCGGAAAGTGGCGCCCTGCCTCGGTGTCCTCCAGCAGGCTGATTCAGAGCACTGCTCCGTCTCTCTCGCACTCATGGGGCGCCCCTCAAAGGTGCGAGAGAGACGGAGCGGCGAGCGGCATCAGCCTGCAGGCTACACCTGTCGCGGTGTCCGACCGGTGTCGCAGAGGTGGCGCGGCAGGAAGGCATTCTGGCGGACCGGCCGGGCAGGACGGGGGCCTGCACGGCCTGCACGGCATGCACTGCACGGCCTGCTCCGGGAGCCACGCGCCACGCGCCGGACGGTCCGGTCTGTCCACTCCGGGACGCGGCGGCGCAGGCGGCGCGACGGGGTGCAAGCCGAGGGGGGTGTCCGCCTCGGCCAGGACGCTTGTTGCTTCCGCATGGGAAGGAATTTCACACGATGACCCGCCGTGTCATTTTCAATCAACGGCTCCCGTTCTATACGCTCCGTCTCTCTCGCACTCACGGGGCGGCCAGTGAGTGTGCGAGAAAGAGCAGCGAAAGCACCGATCGGCATAAAGCGCACAGTGGGTCAGAAGACCGGTAAAGGCAGCCAAAATTCTGAACGCGTTTTGAGCTCTAGAGTCAGACAGAACTCAAACCGAACGTGTGATCTCACCAATGGATTCCTTGTAACGACGGCAATCCATTGGTGGGGCCACACGTTCGGTACGAGCCTCATTTAGCGACTCTGGAGCTCAAAACACGTCTAGAATTTTGGCCGCCTCCACCCTCGCCTCCACCTGTCTTCTGGCAAATCCACTGCGGAGGTCCTAGAATGGGTGACTCACCGGTCGAGCGTGTCGGCGTGGTCGAAGACGCGGCGGCAGACGCGGCAGCCGAAGCCTTGGACTTCGTCGCCGCCGCCGGCGTGGTTCAGGCCGAGGTCCTGGAGGTGCGAGGCCAGGGCGGCCTCGGTGGCGAGCACGCCGTCGCAGACCGCGCACACAAGGCGCGCGGACACGTCTGTGAGGGAGGTGGTCTCGGTGTGGTCGTCGACGACGTCGACGTCCATGGCGGCGGCGGCGGGGCCGTCCGCGTCCACGCCGGCGCGGTGCTGCGCCTGCTCCGTGTCCGGAGGGGGTGGGGGCGGCGACGTGGCGGTGGTCATGTCGGTGGCTTCGTTGTCTTCGCTGGCTTCGTTGGCCGTGTTCTGACTAGCTGCTTCCTCTTGATCCTGCTCCTGCTTCTTGTCCTCGAGGCCGGCGACGACGCCGAGAAGGCCCACGGCAGCGCGGGAAGGTTCCTCTGTGTCGGCTTCGGCCGGGGACGCGCACTGCGGGGCAACAGAAGAGATCACTCAACAAACTGCCTCCAACCAAGCGGGCGGAAAAAGGCGCCAAATTCAAACAACACGCTACGTAAGCCCCAGCTACGCCTGGCTACGCCACGCCCGGGTGCATCAGGGTGCGGTGCGAGGAACGAACAAATTTGCAAAGACGACGTGCAAGTTCCCACGAGGTAAAAAAGTAAATAAAAAGTGCAAGAAAGATGCGGAGAGTCAAGGATACCGGTAATTTGAGCACCGTGAGAGATTTGCGGAACTGTCTTAAGACACCCCCACCACCCCCGCGATCGTCGTCATCACCAGCTGGACCACGCGTGTCGCGTATCGGAAACCGCGCGTGCCAAGGCAGCCAAGGCCAAGGCGCATCCTCGAGGACCGCGTCGAACGCGTCCGCGACGCCCCTCTCTCTCGCACTACGCCGCGGGGCCGACAGAGACACGTAATTGGAAGCGACGCGAGGATCGGCGCGTGAAAACGCCAGGAGACGGGCGGCGCAATCACAATGGGAAGGCGAAGGCACGTCGGAGGATGAAGTCCGGACCGAGGACCGGCGGCGATAGCGATGCGACGATTCAGAACAGTCGTGTCGTCTCTGTCGCACTCACGGGGCTCTCCTCACGGCGCGAGAGGGACAGGGCGGCGAACCGCTCTTCTGAATGGCGCGGCAGACGACGCGACGCGGCCGCGGTGGACCGCGACGGCCGGGCGCCCCGTCGAGGCGCGTCGCGGCGCGAGTCAGAGTCACCTCCGCGAGGGACCTCCGCGGCGCAGACGGGCGACAAAAAAAGAGGGTCGCTTCCACGCGGATTTGAACCCGGCACCACTCGCGTCACGGCGACGCATTCATTGCCGCGGTTGGCGGTAAGACCGCGGCCGGCTACGCCATCTGTTCACACATCGCACAGGTGCGGACGGAGCGGACGGGCGGCTGGGCTGCTGTTGCCGCGGCGACGCGGTCCGACAACAATCAACCGCCAGGATCACTGGCATCCCGGGAGGTCCTGGGGGCAGGTCCTGGTCTTGGCCGCGGTCCGCGGAGTCCTCAGCGGCGAGGACGACTTGCGCGATCACAACACAGCACTGAATATTCTTCACTGAACACACACGCGCACAGCCGCACACACGCAAGTCCTGGTGACGATGACGATGATCACTTTGCCTAACCGATTCACTTTTGGGTATCCATTGGAGGGAAGCACAGCCCGGCACAAAAAAACAGAAAGGACGAAAAAATGAAAGAAATAAAAAGAAACACACCACACTTTAGGCCTGGCGAAACAAACTCGGAGAAGGTCCTCGATGCGGTGCAGCCTGCAGCCACTACACTACGACGCTAGGCTCAGTGCATCACTGCCGTAGTGATGCCTACCTGTTTCAGCATCTTCTTGTCCGCGGGGCCACTAGAGTTGCCGCTCGGGACGCCGGTACTAGGGGTGCCACTGGGTGGCTCTGCGTTTCGAGTCGACGCAGACAGCCGTTTGGTGGCAGCCGCATCGGACGGCTCGGACGGCGCGCGTGCGTCTTGGCTCCTCCGCAGCCTATCCCTAAATGCAGCCCTCGTCTTCGTCTTCTGCTGGTGCCGCTCTCCCCGCGCAGCGCGCTCAGCCTGCTCCGCCTGCTGCGCCGGTCCCTGCAGCCGCCGTTGCCGCAGTCGCTGCTGCTGCGGTGGCTGAGGCGGCTGCAGCGCGCCGCGTCGGCGGCCCTCCCCTCCGACGGCGGCGTCGCTCGCGCCGCCCCCCGCCCGGCCCGCCAGGCCCGCCAGGCTCGGCGTCCCCACCACTGGCCGCGGCGGAGGCATCTTGCTGGCCCGCGCCCCTCCCCCCGCCGTCGGCTCCGCCCCGCGCGGCCCCGCCCCCGTCCGGCGTGTGGCGCGGGTGGTGGCGGGGGCGACGGGGGCTGCGGGGGCGGCGGGGGCGGCGGGGGCTTTCCCCCGCGCGGTGCTGCTGAGGCCGTGGCCGCCCTGGCCGCCCTGGCCCGCTACGCCCTGGCCGTTGCCCCGCCGGCCCTCATCCTCCGCGGACATGGCGGACATCGAGGGGCGCAGGGCGCAGGGCGTGGCGGCGCGGCGGTGCGGGCCGGGCCGGCTGAGGCACCGCGACTCCTTGACGGCCGCCGATTTCTGCCTCTCTGCCTCTCCGCCGCCTCGCCCCTCCCCGGCGTCCCCGGTCTCCTTGCCGGGCCGCGGCGTCCGGGCCGTCCGGGCCGCCGGTGGGCAGATACGTAGATGTCGCCCGCGGCGGACGTACTGACGTACTGACGTACTCGGCGGAGCGGAAGGGGGCAGGACGGGGCGGGAGGACCCTCCTGAAACAGAGGAAACGAGACAAGTTTTCAGACAATGGCGGGTCGCTGCTGTTAATGTAAATTTTAAGGTGGGGGCTTAATTTATTGAGCGTGTGGGTGTGTGTGCGCTGTGCACTGTCCGCGCTGTGCCCCCAACCCCCCGGAGACCGAAGGTACCGAAGGGCACGGGGGCAGCGAGCCACCTGGACGCGGACGCCGCCGTCCGGGACATCGTCCGGGACGCCGTCCGGGACGCCGACGGCGCGGTGCGGGGGTTATCGCGCGTGTGTTCCCACGCACCCTACACCCGCCCGCGAGGGGCCGGGGGGGGGGGGCATCGAGACACCTGGGCCTCGTCGTGTCGTGACCGCGGCGGCGCGCCTTGCCCTGCCTTGCCGCGCCCCGTGAGTTATGCCGCGGCACTCGTGTGGACGGACACGACCGCCAAGAGCACGCCGCCGAGGATAGCAGTCCGAGTCCGCGACCCACAGTGGGCCAGAAGACCGGTGGAGGCGGCCAAAACTCTAGACGCGTTTTGAGCTCCAGTGTCACTAAATGGAGCTCGAACCGAACGTGTGACCCTACCAATAGACTCCTCGTTCGGAGAGCAATCCATTGGCGGGGTACACGTTCGAGCCCACAGTGCGGCGGGGCGCCGCGGCCTTGCGGACGACGGACGTGACCACCAAGGGAGCACGCCGTCGAGAGCATTGCATCCGAGTCCGAGACCATGGTGGCGTCGGCCCCAACGGTTCTCGAACCACACCAACCATAGTACAAGGATAAAGAAACCAAATATTTTCTAGCTTTGAAATTTGAGTTATAATTTTTACGACACGCAGGAAAGGCTCAACAGTGAAGGCGAACACTGCGCGTGTCCTCTCTCTCTCTCTCTCTCTCTCTCTCTCTCTCTCTCTCTCTCTCTCTCTCTCCCTCTCCCAGGTCCGCGGACTCACTGCCGCGAGGGGCCGGGGCCACACGTGAAGCGACCGCGAGCCAAGCGCTGCTCCGTGGCGCCACGCGCCTCAGCGGAGGGATGCGGAACCACACTAGAACATTCCACGTGTGTGTGTGTGTATGTGTGTGTGTGTGTGTGTGTGTGTGTGTGTGTGTGTGTGTCCACCACTGGATATGGCATCGAGTGCACCTTACGCTGCAAGAGTTGCTCCTCCGATTGAAACCAATACGAGCGGCTACTACACTGCTACCGCCACTCCCACCACCGACTACTGCCACAACAGACGCCGACCACCAACGCTAAGTCGACAAATCGCTTCAGCTTTTGTGCTCGGCTTGGCGAGGCTCGGCGAGGCTCGGCGTGGCGTGGCACTGCGTCGGGGAGCTATGGGATGGGGCAGGCCCGAAGGAGGCGGAGAAAGGAGCATTGTCAAAACTGTGTTGTACGCACGCTGCATGTCAACCTGACTGCAGACTGATTCCGAGGAGGTCACTCTGTCTTTCTCGCACCGATCGGAATTATCTAAGAGTGCGAGAGAGACCGCGCGGCGCGAGCGCTGTTTCGTCCGAATCGGCCCGCTGGCTCCGGCCGGCCTTCAGGCCTTCACCGTTATCCATCGACACAGCCTCAGCCTCCCCGGCCTCCTCCTGGAACGGCCCATCTTAGCCATCTCACTCAGCGTCGCACGCATTTGCTCGTTCAATTGACTGTGACGACACTGCAAAATCATCACCACATTCACCACCATGACCATCGCACAGTGTGCCAGAAGGCCGGTGGAGGTGGCAAAAATTCGAGACGCGCTTTGAGTCGCTGGGACTCGAACCGAACGTGTGACCCCACCAATGGATTGCTCTTCGAACGAGGAATCCATTGGTGGGGTCACACGTTCGGCTCAAGTCCTGTTTGGCAACTCTGGAGCTCAAAACGCGTCTAGAATTTTGTCCGCCTGCGCCGGTCTTCTGGCCCACTGTGCATCGCCACCGTCATCGTCATCGCCATCAAAGCGGCGCAGTGACCGCAGTGTCCACGCGGCGCCGGAATCCGCAAGCCGACCCGGCCGACCCCCACCCTGCCACCTTACCAGTGTGCTACCTGTGCGTCGCGATCGCCACCTTGCCTGGCAGTTACCGGGCAGTGTTTGCCTGCATTCCGAGAGTCATTTTCGTCGCGCTTTCTCTGTCGCACCGGTACGGGCCGGCCCAAGAGTGCGAGAGGGACAGAGCGACGAGGACGACTCTCGGATTCAGTCTGCTGTGGGGCTGTTTACCGGGTCGCGCGAAAGACGCCCGCCTCCTCCTCATCTCCGAGTAGCGCGTCTTTCCCGTACCGAGCTTCCACGGAAAAACGCCCCCGCCCCCTCCCCCACCCGCCTCGCTGTGCGTCGCTGTGCGGCCCGTGGAAAAGAAAGGAGAAGAAAACATGACAAGGATCATAAAACTCTGGGCTGTCAGCAAGGTGCGCCAAAGCCACCTCTGCGGGGATGGGGGCGCGGGGCGCACAGCCAGCGCATACCAAGGAGGCTGTGACTGAAGCATCCTGGCTCCTCAAAGACACGTAGCCACGCGTAGCCACGTAGCCCAGTCCGCGCGCCAGGTCACTTACTTGTCACTCGGGCTCAGCGGGACTTTCCACCCATTTCGACTGCATTCTGTACGTCTTCATCTCGCGTCTTTCGTCCGAGGAAAGAGGAGGAGGGTGAAGAGGGGGAGGGGGAGGAGGCTGTCAGCCCACTGTAGGTCGACCCACGGGGTAGTCTTGCCGACTGCTTCTAACTTTAGGGTGCGGCATGGTACGTACAGAGTATTGCACCTGTAGTCTGGCAGTGTGACTCTATACTGGATCCACTCGCACTGCGGGCCTTGAGAGCTGCTTACGCACAACTCCGAGGCGATTTCGCACAGCCCCCTCGATTCAACTTGAACTGCACGCCGCCAGGACGCGAACCCTGCAGGCTGATTCCGAGAGTCGTTTTCGACGCTCTGTGCCTGTCGCACCTCCAGGGGACGCCCCATGAGTGCGAGAGAGACAGAGCGACGAAAACGACAGGTCTCGGAATCAGTCGGCTGTCGCACTCTGCGGCCGCGGGGCGCGGCGGGTGGACTCATTCCGTCGGGCTGTCTCTGTCGCACTCAGAGACGCCCGTAAGGGTGCGGGAGAGACAGGGCGAGGAGGCGACTCTTGGAAATGGCTCGGCGGGTAGCCGGCGTACATTGCATCAGAATCTATTTACGCCGTACGCGGTTCGGTGCCGAGCCGCTGCCCTGGGCGCCAGGCCGCAGTGGGACAGAAGACCGGCGGAGGCGGATGCGTTTTGAGCTTCAGAGTCGCTAAACAGGACTCGAACCGAACGTGTGACCCCACTAATGGATTCCTCGTTCGGAGAGCAATCCATTGGTGGGGTCATACGTGCGGTTCGAGCCTCATGTATCGACTCTGGAGCTCAAAACGCGTCTCGGAGTTTGACCGCCTCCACCGATCTTCTGGCCCACTGTGCGGGGCTGCGGGACTGTCCACAGGTGCCACCGGCAGGCCACCGGCAGGCCACAGGTTCCACAGGTCACGGGTGTTGTTCGAGCTTCGCGCCTCGCCTCCATACGCGTCAACGCGGACCTCGGCTCGGCGAACCCCCATTTAAATACAATGGCGTCCGAGAGCGCGCCGTCCTGCGGCCCGATTCCGAGAGTCGCCTTCGTCGCTCTGTCTCTCTCGCACCAGGACGAGGCGGCCCACGAGTGAGAGAGAGACAGAGCGACGAATGCGGCTCTCGGAATCAGTCTGCAGCAGGCCCAGCAGGCCGAGCAGGCCGATCCCAACCAACGTCGTCTGCTTCATTAGAAACCGACCGAATCAAGTCCGAACTAAAATGCAAAGCGAGATCACCCGCCTGTCTGCCTGCCTGCCTGGCCGCCCGGATCGGCACATGCGTGCACAGCCCTCTCGCCTTGCTCGCGGAGCGGAGGGTCAAGCAAACACGTCACGTCAGTACCAATACTATGTAAACGCCTCATTTGCCTACGCGGCCGCGACATCGACGAGCTATGAAGGAAGAAACGGCAGAAAACAAACAGCAAAATGCAAGAAAAATTTGAACACGTTTTTCGTGGTTCCAGGTGGCTGTGCTGGGGCGTGACGGGGTGGCTGCCGCGGACTGCAGGCCGACTGTCTCTCTCGCACTCCTACGCAGCGCCCAGCGAGTGCGAGAGAGACGGAGCGCTGTGCTGGGCCGCGGGTTCGGTCCGTTCGATCGGACCGCTCTTTGGACCGCCAGTCCCTGACCCTGGGTCGGCCAGTAGCGGCCAGCAGGCTCGTTCCGAACAGTGCTTGCTGTCTCTCTCGCACTCACGGAGCGCGCTGAGGTCACGAGGCGGTGCGACAGAGACAGAGCTACGAGCCGCTCTC